GTCATCCACCTCCACATCAATGTCATAGCAAGCGGTCTTCTTTTGGTCATTGGGGTCCACACTATAAAATGATGCAGGACATTTAGTTTTAGTTGTAGATGGGAAAACATGAGCAGCAGGTGATGAAATTAATTGGAAATCTTTTACTGGACATAAACACAACTTTGAAATGTGAAGACGTTTGCCACAGAGGGGACCGCATGCTCGTAATGAGGTTACCTGATTACATGGTTGATTATGATGGGCTCTGGGGGCATCAGGAGTGCATGCAAGCGCTGCGGGATCTCAGAGAACTTCATTCGCTGAGTCTCAAAGATCTGCAAAGTAAAACCAACAAATACTATTTGGACACAGTCGAATAACATTTAAGAACAGCACTTTATATTCATTTAATTTGTGACATATCTATTAACATAATGTAAATGTGTCAGATGTATCCAAAAAACTAAAATGTTTTTGTCTGCAGTTCATGGGCAGCTTTATGTTCACAGTAAGAGTGCAGCTCACCTACGTATGCTTGTGTTTTAAAAAATAATAATAATACAAAGACGTATATTCTAGATAAACCTATTTTATTTATAAATCACTAACAAGTTAACTTAGTTGCAGCAAACTATGAGTCGTGACAATAATGTTTGCAAGTTATCTCATTTGTTCAATGTTTATCTTTATAGAGAGCCAGAGATTTACTATAATCCACTCTGTCCTCTTCCTCTTTTGTCCTTTGGTCTATCTGCTATTAGAATCTGTTGTGACCATTTTACTAAATGTGCGCAGGAATGAAACAGCAAAACTGAGATTATTAAATTATTGGCTCTATTCCATCTTGACCACAGTCCAAATTACTGTTTTAATACAAGAAACTTCAAGCTAGCCTAATTTATTTCATACGGTAACTTTGTAGGAATTCACTATTAACTTTCCACAATCCTGTTTATCTTGGCAGAGCCGAAGAAAATGAACTGGGAAACCTGTCAGTGACCCAGAAAGAGTGAGTCTCCATACATGGACAGAGGAAAGAGTAGAGAGACGGACTGTACAACATCAAGAGCAGGAATTAACCAGGACAACTATGTGACTGTGGATCCTTTCAGCTTAATGCAACAACTACAGTTTGAATTCATCAGGTCTAAAGAATGGAGAGGCTTCTTTTGGTGTATTTTAAAGTAAAAATAACGTGTCATTAAAGTTTCATTTATGGATTATCAGACATCAGAACAGAACAAAGAATAACACGTTAAAGTAAAAAAACATATTTCATGGTCCCAAGATGTTAGAATACAAAATAAAACACAAAGAAACAGGATATTCAACAACAACTAAACACATTCCTGAAATCCAAAAGCATATCTTAATTTAAGAAACATAAAAATAACTCACACCAGAAACCAAGGACAACTAAAACGAGTGTAAAAAAAGAACTTTTAGCTACATTATTCACTCGAGGCCCTCAAGGTGTGTTACCTCACAGAAGGAGTCCCCTCACCTGCTGCAGGTATTTATCACAGTTGATGAACTCGCGCTCATGAGGGTCTTGGAGTTTGTGGGTCTTGACGTACTGCCACAGGGCCTGAATGATGACAGGTCTAGTCTGGGTGTGGATACCCAGCATACGAGCCAGCCGGGGGTCCAGCTTGAACTGAGGGGGCTGGATTGAAACAAGGTGAATCTGTTATTAGAGTTGGATGTCCCCTTTTTATGAACCTAATCTACTACTAAGTGTTTGAAAAGCTCCTGAACGCAACATGACCATACCGCTGAGAGGCAGAGTAAACCCCTGAGCATTTACCTGGTAGTCGAGCATGAGCAGGACGGTGCAGCGAACACCTACATCACCGGGCCTCTTCACCTGGAAACCATCAGTCTCCTGGGTGGTGGCAGTCCTGTGCCACTGAAATGACATCGAGGATCATATTTTAGTAACAAGTAGAGTATTTACCAATTAATCTGTAAACTGAGATTAGGTTAAAAGGGTTTTCAAGTGTCGTTGCAGAAATAAACAGCTAATTCCCGGCATTAAATTACCATTAAAGTAAATGTAAAGAAAAATACAAAACAATAAAAACATGCTTATAAATATTCCAATTCAATTAGAGCTGAAATGATCAGTTGGTTTAGTTGGCAACTATTTTGAGAATCGATAAAGCAAAAAAATACTAATCATTTTCGCCGGTTTCAGCCTTTCAAAAGCGAGAATTTTGAGGTTTTGGACTGGTTGGATTAAAAAAAAGTATCTGAAGATTTTCCCCTACATATATTTTGATATTTTAAATACAGAACAATCTATTAATGAAGCAAAAAAACCCAGGCAAAGTTATCAATAGTGAAAAGAATTGTAATAGCAGCATTTAATGAGATTTTAAAAGCAGAAAATGTTCTTTTCACATAGAGTTTAAAAATCCATTATATATAATCCTCGAGGGGAATACTGGGTAACCAGCTGCAGATGTAGATACTCAGATACATAAAACAAATGATCTCACTTCCACAAGGTGATTATCTGGACCATACAGGTCCTTGTCCAACTCGATCACCAGAGACTTGAAGAAAGAGGAGAACTTCCGCTTCTGTTTGGTGGCTTCATACTTGGACACGGCCGTCTGCAAAACAAATGTTACTCTTATTAAATATCTGTGTACAACTCATTTCTGTAGGTTATATTGTAAGTGTTCTGGTGAAGCATTTTAAGTCTTAAGCCATAAATAAATAAATAGTGCACACAAAGAAAACATTCATATTTTAGAAGATTAAATTGATATATTTTAATCATGGAGCTTACATCTTCCAGCAGACGCCCTTCAACACGTAGCTCCCATGAAGCAACTGTGCCTTCTCCATCCTCAGCATCTGGCTTCGCAGGGTTGAAGGTGTTTGATATGAAGATGCGAAGCTTTCTCTTTTGCTGGAAACAAACAGTCAAAAGAAACTTTAAATTGATGTGCCATCATTCACTCAACAAACTTCAGTTGTTTTAAAACACAAACTGCAACTTAAATTCCCACAAAACAAGTTCTGTTTCATTCAATAAAGTCCATTGTGTGGTTAGGTATATTCAAGATTACATCAATTTAATGGTTTGCTACATGAAGACACTTAAAAGACATTCAACATCTTTTTGTCCACTACTACATGGAAACTATCTGTAAAACAAACAATCAACATTTATAAAGACCTAACAGTGTCAGTATCTTACTTCCATATGAAGTGAAGCCTGGTTCAACAGTAAAATCACAAAAAAAACCAACTTATTTGATTGTGTAAACTTGCTTTACAAGCATTTACCCAATTACTTTACTTGTAAATGCCCAGTTACACAGAGCATGGAGGACCCTGGGGTTGTGAATGGCTTTGAACCGGAGTGATTGAGGGATTCCAGCAGTGGAGACTTTAATTAAACACCAACCTTAATAGGCCTCTTGAGGGCCTCCTGAATGTCCAGCCTCTTGCGCATGATGGTCTGGTCCAGCTTCCTCTCAAAAGCCAGCAGATCCATGTAAGCCTGAGACTCTGGGACCAGTTCCCTGATCTAAGACACAATGAAACACACTGGTGACCACTGGTGCAACAAAAGCACACTCAGAGGACTTTTAAACCCATAGTGGTCTTTAATATCCATTATGTGACTGACTGTGTGTCAAACATGTGACGTTGTACATAGCTATACAAACTGCAGAGACAAGACTATGTAATAAACGAGCTGAAACTGCAGTTTAAGATACAGCTGCAGTGCACCTCTATATTTCTTACAGCTACAGTTCCTCTGTAGCGAGCAGACTTTAAAAAGGTCCAGTGTGTAGGAGTTATATTCAATTTCTGCCAATAGAGCCCTCCCAAACGTTATACACCTTTAAAATTACTAAACTATTATGTAGCCGTGCAGCTGTCGTCATACGGAGGTTTCAGAAGGTTGCTCTGAATACCAGGTATTACAGGATTAAAAAATATAACAAAAGTCAGTCCAGTAATGGTATTTCTACCATGAAGCCGGTTGTATAGAAATCAGTGCTCTACCGACACCGTTTCGGTGCCCAAACCTACTTAAAACTGCTTAAAATGTCATGTAAATGATTTCAAGCGCTTACAGTCAATGCACTATTAATTCTGGTACTTTATAAAAAAAAACTAAAAACCCAAATGTAATCTTTGCAAAACAATCAAGGTCAGAATTAATGGGTCTGAATGAACTGCCCTTTGATTAAAACTCACCCTCTGAGGTAGAATTTTATCAGCCATCTTCTTCTTCTTTGTGCTGTAAAAACAAATTATGAAAACACGATAAGTCTGAGTGCAAGTTAGAGCCGAGCGGTACTCCATTATCACATCCTTTAATGCCTTTAAACATACTGCCAATTCAAGTTGAATTCTCTCCCCTTTTCGAAACTACCGGGTAAGTCTGTCATCTCATTTGAAAGTCAATAAAAGGGCTACTGATTATTCTTTTTGTAATTAATCTAATTGTGAAATTAACAAACAAAATGTCCATCACACTTAATAATGTATCACAATAGCTTTGTTTTGACAAACCAACGGAGCAAGACATAAAAATATTGTACAATTAAAGCGAGAAACAGCTAATTTAAGAGGCTGTAACCACAGAATGCCATTTTGTTCAAGTGAGTAAGAAAGAAAAGACTGAAATTAAAAATAAATGTAACAATTAAACTAATTTCTGTCGTTTTAGTTCTAAGTAAAATTTATCCAAACTGCTGTTCCAGCGTCTGGATTAAAACAGACGTAATCAATCACAATTTTATCCACTTTCAGTGCCCGCTGCATCAAGCTGAAGTATGTTTTAAAGACATTTAATGAGGCTAATTTTCAGTTCACGTTTATCAAGTATAACAGCACTTTGTTTTTTATACTTCCCCATTAAAAAAAGGTTACACGTGTTTTCAATCTGGGGTTGGAAAGACGGGTTTCCAACAGAACATATTGTTTTGGGGCGGCGGCGATCAAACTCTCAAGAGGAGTGAACAGGAGCAAGTTGTCGTATCCGAGGGAAGGTTAAAATACCAAACCCGTGAAGACCTCTGATAACAATCCAAACACCATTTTAAAGTTCAATACAGGCGAATATCCCAGTGCCTCTATTACAGATTACATAATTAAAAGTTTAGCTCAGAATATTGATCTTCTGTTTGAAGTGAAGACGCACCGCTGCTGCATAAGAGGGGGTGGGACTTACTGCTGGTTGCGGTTCTGCTGCTGCACCTGCTGAATCTGTTGGGGGGCGGGCCTCTTGCGAGATGGGTCCATCACGCCAGGCATCACTGGGCGAGACACCGGGCTGTTCCCATATCCTGGAGGACCCATAGCTGGTCCCTGCGGGGTCATACGACTGGATGGAGGCATGCCAGGTCTCTGCACAGAAAATATAGGGACAATGTTTTCAGAAAACCTCTCTTTTCTGGGAATTAGTTTACCATTTAACAAGCTTCTTTCACAGCAGTCGAGGCTGCAGTATAGAGATATTTAACCACTTATTTTTTCATTCCCAGGTATGTTTAGACTCGCCGACATACCGTACAGGTTTTCTGTATACTGTTAAATTCATGTTATATATAAATTATTCAGCTACTGTGATTATCGACTGATCGTTTCAGTTATTTTTCAGGTAAAACGCAAAACATTCGATGGTTTTAGCTTCTCAAATGGGAGAATTTTCTTCTTTTTCCAAGTCTTACCTGATAATACTGTAAATATGATAAATTTGGGCTTTAAAATGTTGGCCTGACAATATAAGATATTTCAAAACATCACCTTGGACGTTGCAAATTGGAACGGGATGTTTTATAGACCACACAGTTAATGAAGAAAACCATCAGCAGATTAAGCGATAATGTTAATAAACTGGACAAAGACACAACACCTCACCGGCTTCTCGCTACATGTAATAAAGCAAATTGTATCTCCAAGGCTGTGAGGATGTGCGTAACCAAAGCTTTGAAACAGAAGATTCAAGAGATCAGATCTTCTATCCTGTCATTTTTTCACTTTAGTCTATATGGATATTCTCTACACACAGATGAGTTTGGAAATATCATCGTAAATATGGCAGAAAAACATCTCGATGTTAATAATTCGTTCTAAACTTAACAAATTTTGCATTTTGTAAGTACAAGAAAAACAAACGGCTCATAATCAGCAGCATACAACTGTTTTTTTTTTACATAAAATTAATACTAAATCATCAAATCCACATACTTTGGTACCTAAAAGACGTCTGTCAGGTCCTACAAGAACAGATAGCAACAATTTGCATGCAAGTACAGAACAGCCGCAACTTCCAACTCACCAAGCCGTGCGCTAAAAACTCAAACAGGCGACTTCGTGTATCTAACTGCATTAGTGCGGGGTGAGACCAACGGATAAATTACAAACTGATTGCAGCTTTCCCTCCAGCAGTGAGCCCAACGAACGAGAGAGTGAGGAAGAGCGTGCTCTCTCTCCTCAGGCGATGATGGAGGGTGGAAGAGAGGAAGAGTGACGGACGTTGACTTGTCAACAGCACAGGCGAGATGAACGCGCTCTGCCTTTTCCACACGGGGGAGTGTGGGCAGTGAGGGAATGCATGATGGTCACTAAGTGCTATTTACACTATACATCAGTGCAACCTTGGTTTACCTGAGAACAACTGGAGTTCTGCAGTACGAAGCCTCTCCGGCTGTGTTGTGAAAGGCTGCTTGTGTGAGTGAAAGCAGTCAAGGACGACGAAGAAAGAAAAAAAAATGCAGCATCCTTTCACTGAACTATGCTTCAGGTTTCCAGTAGCTAAGCAGCAGCGACTACCACGGCAGAGAACCGGCGATAAATGACTCATCATTTCTATCAAATTCAAAAAATACAAAAGTGGCGTTTGTAAGAAACAGCATATTAGCTCAGGATGTGCACATGATCCAATATATATAAAAACACTGTGTACTACAGATCATCAGAATATAACAAGAGTTATAATCTGCAAAATGACTCGTGCAAGTAGCAGCATGTATGACGGGATAATAACTATTATTAAATTATTGTAGCAAAGTGCATCCGACATATGGATAAACACAGAGCGATTAATGTAATGAAACATTTGGGTTACACAGGCACAAGAGCTTGAAATCAGCCACTAGATGTTGTAAATAGAGCTGAAATGATGAGTTGGTAGACAGATATTTTTTTTTTTAGAGATGCTCTAAAGTTTCTTGGCTGATTCCGATTTTCTTTTTGAGAAACAATAACTGACAGCAAACATTTTACAATTTTTGTAACTTTTCTTTACAGGACGACTCAATAGTACGTTCATAATAAAACACCGAGCAACAGAATGAACTGAGCTTGCTGTACAAATAAAATCCACGTGAAAATGCTCGAGTATCTCATTTCACCATTTCGGTTTCACTTAAATCTTCACCTTGTTTTAGAGTTTACTCATAAACTA